CTTGAACCTGCAAACTTGTTGTTTTGATACTAAAGCTCTCAAGCTATTGTACGGTTTTGATCACCAATTCATGGATCATTCTGAGGTGTAGAAAGGGATTGTGCAATTTAGAAATGCGACTTGGATAATCAAATTAAACAAAGAAAACATACTTACCATTTATGATAAGCGTAAATTTCCATCAATTTCGAGCAAAAGTTTATATCTCAGCCATCATGCAATGCCTACAAAGAGAAATCTATCCATTAGATATCAGGAAGGAACTATAAAACGACTCATCATCGAACTTTTGAACATCATAGTCCACAAAAAATGAAGATTTATCAGGTTTACATCACCAACAGGTCTTGACACATCCCAAATTCCAGCGTGAATTTCATCAATCTACACAAACCACAACTAATTTCCGAACCAATATATAATGCATATCCGATTCGAATCAACACTTTACCTTGATTGTCATCTGTCCGGCGAAAAACTCGTGGTCGGCGTCAGGACCAAGTGTAGGTCGGAGAGGAAACTCAGAGCCATCAATGTCCTCCTGACCATCGAGTGTGATGAGTCGAGGTCTGAAATCAACGATGATATGGATCTCCGAATTCGATTCACAACTCCATTCGACGGATTCCTGATGCGACACGGCCGTCTCCGTCCCGAAAATCAAGAGCAACCTTGGTGTCGGTTTGGTCAGTTGTGAGGATAAGGGGTTTTTTCTTACAAAGAACTAGGTGCGGGGTATAATATATTTAAAAATTCTAAGATTATGTATGTGTTGTTTTATGATTATGAAGTATAAGATTTTAAGTTCAATTTTTGTTGTCTAATACCTATTTTTGTGTTTATGTAGTTCATGGTCAAATAGTAATATGAGTCCTAAGTTGGGTTATGTTTGCATCTTTTATGAAAAAAATATAAACACACATTTGTAAATTGATGATATGCATAGAACAGAAAAAATTCATGAAGACAGAGCTTATGTAATAACTTACATTCTTTAGATTTTCAGTTTGATTTGAAATTCGATGATCTATCACTTGTACAAATGTGTTCAAGAGAGATGACATAACCTAAANAANANAAAAAAAAAAAGAGGGAGAAACATAATGGAGATTAAGAATAAATATTTAGTGGATTAAGAATTGACAATCTAATCAAACCAAAAACCATAAATCAAAAGAAGGATACATCAGTAGCTCAACTAATTTTCATACATGAGACATATGTGTACTCATGTTCTTCATGCTTTCATCAAGAAACAGTGATTGAGAAAGAGCAAATGACCCTTAAATAAGAAACAAAGGTAAAAGCTAAAAGGCTAACCGACAACACGACACCAGCTTCACATAACATGAGCACCATATACAGAAACTCCAAACTTCTGAGTTTGCACAAATAATAAATCTGAACCATAATATTCATTTTAGTACAACTAACAAAAAAATGGTCCATGTAAAGTGAGCACAACGGTGAGAGTGAAAAAAAACATGGATATAATTGCGTGAATTTACCTATGATTGGCAACTTGAGCATCATTTTAACACTGAATTTGAATCTAACTTAGTTTCAAGGTAGGCTGCAATATCGTCATCACCGGATGAATACTCTTGAGACAATAACTCTTCACACTCATACCTTATGCAAGACTCACCTTGCAAATAGGAATATGATTTATATTTTTTTGATTTCT